TGGCTCGATCCATGTTCTTGCTAAGTGATGACATTAGTAGAATGTTAGGGTTCTGCTATAGGTTATTGAGATATGTGACACCGTTGAGGAATCCCGTGATAGACAGGCTGATTCTTGTAATGCATTTTGTCTACTTCAAAGACATCAAACCGAAGAAGAAGAACAATGGTGAGGATGATTGTGGAAGCTCTGATGATCAGGAGCGAGTTTTTGCTTTGATCAGGGCGGCTTGGAAGGATTTCGGTGCCGGGATCTTAATCTTGGGACGCCTTTGGTTGGCTCTCATTAGAAATCCTGACGGTTTTGATGGTTGTCAAATATCTAGGGCTATTGTGAGATTCAAGCAAGACGTGCTGAAGAGGCTAGATGATAAACTGGAGGATGTGAATGGGTTTGCGAGGGCGACGTTAGAGTCTAACATTTCTGACTTGTGGAAGTCTCTCTTTGATGTAGAAGATAAGGAAGCAGCCGAAGTGGTACTGAGTAGGGCGCTTAGAGAAACGTTTACTCCTATTTTGGGCAAAGGGAAGGAAGCTGATATACCGGGACTAGTGCGCATACATCCTCCTTACATTCTCGGGGAGGATTTCAAAACGGAGGAAGCGAAAGAGGAGGTTGTGAGACTAGGAGTTGAGCTCTGCCTCTACGTGGCACAATACATGTTCTTGCTGTGTGATGACATTCGTAAAATGTTGAGGTTTTGCAATAGGTTATGGAGAGATACAACAAGGACAGGCCACGTGTTGGATAGGCTGCTTCTTGTTATGCATCATGTCTACACGAGATACATGGAACCAACCAAGATTGGAGTGCATGGCAAGAATTCTGTCCATTGGAAATCGGTCGTGAGGACTCGGAGGGATTTCTCTCGTGGATTCATGCGTCTGAGTAGCGTGGCACTCTCTCTCAAACAAGGAAGAAAATGTGGCCGAGAGTGTACGAGACCTGTTGAGACAACGGTGAAGGAGTTGGAGGAGAAGTTGGGGTGTGTGGAGAAGAAGGGTGTTGCTGAGGCGAATGGTTTTGACAGGGATGCCATTGAGCCTGAGGTTTTGGAGATCTGGAAGTCTCTCTTTGACGTAGAGGCCAAGGAAGCAACACCGACTCTCCAAGCCATCAAAGATGGAATTCTTCGTGACTTAGCTTGTTTCAACTTGGCTTGACTTGGCTAAGCTTTATGATTGTTGTTTTTGAAAGACTAATCTTCTTAGCTCAAATTAATTCACAACACTTTACCACTGATTTAGCCAGTGACCATTTCATTTTCTCCATTAATTTTTTTTTTCTTTTTATTTATTTATTTGCAACTCATACGCTCTCACTAGTCACGACCACATCTGAAATCGGTGAAGTCATAACAAGGACATTATTACAGACTAATAATAAACTTGTACATGTTCAACTTGTAACAGTAAAATAATTGATAAAAATTTAGTAGATTTTGTTATATGTTTACAAATTACAATAAGTCTATTGCCACTGGTTACGTATAGTAAACGGCAATAGAGAAAAATACACACAATTGGGAAAAGAAATTGATAAAACACACACTCACACAATATTATATGGTTACAGAATCATACCGAAGTTGGTAAGTCCAACTTTGGTTTTTTATTTTGATTTTATATGATTATACCAAACCAAACCAAACCAATTTTCTTTGGTTTGTTGGCAAAAACCCATTTATTTATTCGAATTTTCAATCTCATTTTACTTGTGAATCAAGTAAGAAGCTTTTTCCTGTATAACCTTCCATGCCTCCTTCACGTGCTTCTCCTCCGTCAATGGCGCTCCTATGGCGCAACGTAATACGATTTTTCCCGACAAAGCCTGTTTCCCACGCAAATGCCATACATTATTATTACCAAACAAGAAGAGAGAAGAGAAAAAACAGAGAGAGGTCACACTCACAGTGTGAGACATGAAGAGTTTCCCTGAGGAGTTAACTGCCTCTAGGAGCTGGCGGTTTCGGTTATTACACTTCTTTTCATCATTCTCTGTAGGAACGATACGGAAACAGACGAGAGAAAAGATCCGAGGAGTGATAACCTAAAAATTAACAAAGAAAAAAAAAATTTATACCTTCTTGTCAAGAGTATTAATTCTTCAAGAAAGTTTTAGAGTTACCTCAAAGTTAGGATCTTGAGAGACAAGTTGTTCGAAATCTTTAGCAAGTTTGATATGGTTTCTTATATAGTTCTTCAAGGTCTTAGCTCCATATAGCCTTAAAACCATCCATAGTTTCAGTGATCTGTCCAAAAAACACAAACAAACCAAAAAGAAAAAACAGATTGTTTATTTATATGCAAATTCTCTTACAAAAAAGTTTAAATTGAATTCCCGCCAAAACAAAAAAAAGGAAAGAGAACCTGAATCTTCGTCCGAGAGGGACCTGCCAATCTTTGTAATCAACAACCAAGTTTGCCTGAGAGGCCTGGTAACAAAATAAAAAAGAAAAGAAAAAGTGGGATAAATGATAAATCTAATAATAGATTCAAAGAAGAAAGATCATGAGCACAAAATCTTTCTTACCTTGTTTTTGAGAAACTCTGGATTTGTTGAAAGAGCTTGAGTGAGAGAATCTTTATCCTGTTTGTTTCAAATGTCGACAAATTTATTAAATACGTGTTCCAGAATAAAAATTTGAGCTATATATATAATATACCTTGACCCAAAGTAG